ATAAAGTTTTTTATATGAATATGATTAATAATCTGTAGTTGTCCGCACATAAACCTTTCCAGAAGGCATCGATACTTTATCCACTCCTTTGGGAAACATTTTAGGGAGTTCCTCATCTTTCACAGTTGGAAGAATCATAACTTTTTCACCTGGCTGCAAATAAATGAAGAAATATTTTTCTATAAAGTATATACATGTTTCAGGTAAATTCTATTAACCAAATATCAAGATTTCAATTATCTAAATAGAAGAAATGCAAACAATAAATTTTTATAGTAAACTACAATTTATTAATAAGAAGAAAAGTTTTCTTACCATCCAGTTAGCTGGAGTTGCTATTCCTGGTTTTTTATCAACGAGTTGCAAAGAATCTATAACGCGCAGTATTTCACTGGAAATCATAAAAATATCATTAATCGCGTGATCATTTTGTTTAGTAAAAATTTCAATAACCGAAGGACTTACTCTACATTGCGTCCAGTGGATGTTGGATAGTGCATAGATAAACGCAGACGATGATCAGGGCTTATGATGTACAAAGCGCGAACAGTTTGTGCCGTTTCCAGGTCATCTTTGCTTTCTTCATCAATCATATCTAACTTGACTGCCAAGGCGCGATCAGGGTCAGCAATAATGGGATAGGGAAAGTCCCCAGGAATATCACGGCAATAAGATTTAATATCCTGTTAGAAAATTATACCCTTATGTAAAGCAGGAAGTATCGAATGATATATTTAGTATTATAAGCTTTATGCGCATAACACAAATCCAGTTGTCCAACATCAAATTCTAGTACATTATTCCACACAACCTATTCGGTCATTCTTGGTGGAAAACTTAACGGGTGATTCTCGAAGGCGAAATAAAACGAAAAGGTAGAATAAAAAATTTGCATTTGAGCCTTCGTTTTCTAGATATTTACGTTTAGAAATATCCCTGTAGCCGAGCAAATCTCTCTACACCAACGCATGTAGGGCATATCAAGACAAGGGGATCCCCGAAATCCATTTGCCGCATCTTGTCGTGCCATATATTCGTCGATGTAGGCATGTGTATCCGACTACAGGGATATTTTTAAACGTTAATAACTGAAAAACGAAGGCTCAAACGTAATTATTTTATTCTTGATTTTCGTCTTATATCGGCTTGTAGAATCATTCTCTGAATTTTCTCCCAGGAGCAGTCGAGCACCCTATACATCTGTCCAACTATTATACTTTCACAAAATGATAGCAATGGAACTTCAATGTCGTCAAATCAAAATGGTTTTTTTTTTAAATAAAAATTCGTTATGACATGAACAAAAAATGTGTACATGACAACGCTTTAGACCGTATAGTTTTCACAATGCAATAATAATTGAGAATAAAAGGAACACAACGACCTTAGACACATTGATATTGTATTATTTTTCTAATTATGGAAAAATTAACAGAGACCACTTTGTTTTATTTTGCCTGAGATCTTTACGACGCACTGCGATCAAGAAAATAATAATAGTAATACTTAATTTACGGGCGTAAACCCTTTGATATCTAACAATACGATATGAGACATACACGGAAGAAATGTGGAATGTAGGATCTGGACGTTGAATATTCTCATCCCAATTATATACAGTGAAGGTAAAAAGTATTCGTACACCCTATAAAACGGAATAACTTCTTTAAAATTGGGCCAAACGACTTGAGTTTTTTTTAGAAGTTAGAAGGATTAGTTTACTAGATGACGTGTATAAATTTTTTTGAAAAAATTGCAATTTGTAGAAATCGCGAAGAAAATTGTAAAGGTCACTGTTTACAACTTTTTTATCCGACAAGCTTGTAACGAAAATTTAAAAAATACGTTTTGTAGATCTATGTCAATTATACACATGCCGAAAATTTCATCGAAATCGGTTGATGGAGAAACAAGCGACAGGTATCTTCAGATTTATTAGCGAAATAGTGAAATAGTGCGATTTTCACAATCTTTAACCGTTTGTAACTCAGCGACATTAACCGGTTTCGATGAAATTTTCGGCGTGTGTATAATTGACATAGATCTACAAAACGTATTTTTTTAAATTTTCGTTACAAGCTCAGATAAAAAAGTTGTAAACGGTGACCTTTACAATTTTCTTCACGATTTCCACAAATTGCAATTCTTTCAAAAAATTTTATACACGTCATCTAGTAAGCTAATCCTTCTAACTTCTCAAAAAAACTCGAGTCCTTTGACCCAATTTTAAAAAAGTTATTCCATTTTATAGGGTGTACGAATACTTTTTACATTCACTGTAGTTAATGCTATCCACACACCAACAACACTATTATTGTGAATATTAACACATTCGGAGCTGGCAATGTTTTCACTTTTCTAACACCGAAAGCCGGTTAAAGTAAAGAAATTCGAAAGCTGGTTGCCGCAGACTTCTGTCATTAAGACAAAATAAAAATTATAAAATTTCTTTCCAATGAAATAAAATGCTCAGAATCGTTAAGTATGACAACTCAGCGGCAACCAAAAGAAGCTTACGAAATGACGTGAATTCACATGAGTGGCTGTGAATGTGTTAAGAAAACGTTATCTCTGCAGGACAGCAAGTGTTCGTTGTGTACCGGATGAAACGGTTATCATTCAACGCTTGCATAAAAATAAAGATAAGTGTAATTGAAAATCAATTATTTCACGATAGTCAAAAGGTCTTCTGCAGTTTGGTGTTACCTGACTTTCAGTCGACAGCAATATTTTATTTATGAAATGTGAAAGTAAATTATGTATACATACATATACGCTCTTATAGTAAATGAGTGACCTCTTTTACAGAGCATATATTATGCATATGCCTTTCGTAGTGAAAGGGTTAAACGGACAGCGAATATAGGAAATGGCAAATGTTAGAAAACGGAATTTCCTATGTTCTAAGAAATTATAAAGCAACAATTATTTATTCTGGAATGGATAGAAAAATGACAAAAAATTTGAAATAAAATGAAAATATAGTTGCTACGTTTTAACGTAATTTCTAAGATTTACAGGTGAAATAATTATGCAGGAAGTTATTTAGAGAAAGTGCAGTAGATTAATGTACAGAATGCTGCAAAACTTACGGGGTGATTCCTGGTGCAAAAATGAGCCGAAATTTTTACAAAGCTTCACTTTCGAAAAGTGACAGAACTTTTATCGAATATGCGTGCACTTAATTTGAGTTGACTTGTCTGACCGTGAATAAATAGTCTCTTCACACTTGGACACAATGTAAGCAAGGCTCCGTGCTTTATGACCATTTGACTAAATACAAATGTAAAGCATAGAAGGTGCTATACTTTATGTATATTTTCAACTTCACATGGATGAAAACGACGAAACATACATATGTGCGTCGATAATCATACAGAATCTCATATGTTAACACAAATTTGTATTCTATATTTTCGATTTGCTTTCACATGTGGAACCAGCTCATTCTTATATGCACCATTCGTTATGAAACACCCTGTATATGTTTGTATCGTGAAACAAAATATTGTTATATTCAAAGATAGCATGCATCTTTAGTAAACTTTGAACGATATCTCCGTAACATACGTTAACCCAATCAACATGATCCTTCAGTTTGTCAACGGAATGAGCCAACAGTTTCGTGTTTCGACGTTCAAAATGAGGTTGGTGAACTGCTAAACGACCTAATTCGGTGGTGCAAACTGGTGTAAAATCAGCAGGATGGGAAAATAGAACGACCCATCTATAATCAAAAAATGCAAAAGGAATAATGAAAAAATGTTCAATAAAATTGTATACATATAATTACATTATCACCGACATTACAATTCTTTTTGCTGAAATTTCTTTACCATACCATATTTCGATCTATCAGTATAAGAGCATAACTTCGAAATTCTTTAGGAGTTTTGTATTTGTTAATATAACCAAAAGTGTTATTTGTTGTTACATTGTATGTGGAATTATACAATGAATTACGTCATATAATGAGTATTTCTAAAAATTTTATGTTATATCATAGACAAAGTACAGAATAGACTTATCACTTTTTATGGGACTTTGTGTCTCACGTTCTGAAATATCGATCGTGTAAAAAGCCAGAGGTTTTTACATATTGTGAGAAAATCCGTCCCGAAGACGATGAAGCAAGCATCTTGAAGCCAGGCCCAGCGCGCTCGGTGGGGGTGACTCCGCCCCTTTGGGTCTTTCCCTGGGCCTGTTCGCGTAGGGGTGGACAGGGATCGGCAGGACGACGCGTCCTCACTCTTCCCGAGACCCTTAACGTATACCTTTGCGAACGACGCCCGAATAACGTGGATACAGACTTTGAATAACATATACTATTGTAAAAACGTAGAAACGTGTCTACTCCGAGTCAGAGTACTTTCTGACAATATACAATCCAACCATCGAAGATAATAAAGTTGACAAACGTAAAAGATCCTCTCGTGTTAAATCCGCATATTATAAAGATGCATTTACATATGTATATTGGATTACGTGGTACAACTGTTGACGATCTTTCGACAACAGTAGAAATCGCGCGTGGGATGAATCATTGACTAATGGAAAATTATGTTCTCATATTTTGTATCGCAATACAATGAGAATATTATCGATTTGTGAAATTTTGTTGATGAAAGTGAGTCTAAATGCCACCTTATTAAAATTGCTCTCAATTATATGCAATTATATAGTTCGCGAAAAATATCCTTTACGAATCATTCGGACGGTAAATTCCAAATGAATCGTATGCAAAACATTTACATATTCTTATATATATTTTATAGAATGTAATAATATTTTTTGAGATATTTAAAAATGTTTTATCTAGACAACTGTAAAATAGTTCTGTTCACAATGAAAATAACTTTTTGTGTTAAAAGAAGGAAATAGAGAAAAGGATATCAGAGCAGAGGAAGATTCTTTTAAAATAAGCAAGCGACATTCGTGTTTTGTCGGTGAAAGATGAAAACAATTATGAACATTCAATTAGTTATTCGTCATGGGAAAGAAAAATTTTCATATTTTTCACCGAATCTTCGTGAAACTGTTGCAGATGGTTTTCCTAGATTCTCCCGATGAAAATGAGTCCTGACACGAACTTATTCGAATCATGTGAAGTTATATTTAAACTTAAATGACCTTCAAATATTTGAAAAGTCTTACATGAAAATTTATATTGAGTTTTTGGGGCAAATACTGCATCTGCACGCGTAGTGTAAAAGTGGTTCAAACAAGTTCGATTAAATGACTTTAACCTTTACAATGAAGCATGTACCAACAAACCAACTACAGTAAATTCTCTACAAGTGTCAGTCAGTTTGGATTCTACAAGTGTCAGTATAGATGGTCCTACGCCTATGTTATCCTCGCCCGCTGTCAGTCAAGCGTGTAACGCTACACCACTCGGTTTCTTTTACGAGATTTCACGGCTGGACAATTCATAATAGAAAAATATAATTTCTTTAATTTTACTTTTTTTCATCTGAAATTTTTTTTAACATGTTGGTGAGATTTTTCTGATGAAAATGACATCAAACACGATATAATTTTCATCAGAAAAATCTCATCAATATGTTAAGAAAAATTTCGGGATAAAAAACGTAAAATTAAAAAAGTTGGTATTTAAATCGCTTGGTTGCCTCGACTTCCGTTTCATCCTTATCTTTTATTCGCTGTCCTTGTCTACGTTCGGCAAACTACAAAGGCAGACGCAAGGCTCGAAAACGTAGTCCCTGACTCTACAAGTGTCAGGTTTAGGTTCCTTGCGGACTGACATTTGTAGAGAATTTACTGTACATACATATACTATAGAAGTACCTCTAAAATTCTGTAAGAACTTGGTGTGCGGCTGTAAGGTATGCTGACCTATACTTCATTTGTAATTTCATGGATAAGTTTAATTTTAATACTAAAATAACGTTGGAAGTGACACGAAAATGGTTTTAACATGGACAAAAAAATGCATCGGGTGATAGGTCTACTCTGTACCTCGACTATGGTTATACATTCAACTGTGTTAATTTTTCTGTTACTTGCTTGATAACCCAATGTGTTTATTTCTTCGTAAATTTATTAAATTTATTTCTTCATATACATATGTAGTTATATCCATTCGTAATCGGTCACAATACAATCGTAACATAAACATATTCTAGTATCTCCATGTACATACGATATCTTATATCTTGGATGTGCCGGTATACAGTACGACTTTGCATTATACAGAATATGTTATCTGCCTAACGTGACCACCTCATTTATTTTTGTTATAAGTGCACCGAGAAAAATTTCTTTTATCATAAAGCATACGGTTTCAAAGCGTCTTCAATGTGATGACCTTAGATTTCATCTGTCTCTTTTTAAAATAAGATTTCAAGACCACGTTCAATTCTTTTATGTACAACCCTATAGCTTTTTTTTTTACTTATTGGCTAGCAGGCATTGAAACGAATTCAACGACCATAATGTAATACATTTTTGTATATATAAAATTTACACATAAAAACATTACACGTGATCTTGAAAACTTATTTAAAAAAAAGGGCACAGAAGAAATCTAGGGTCACTACCTTGGAGATCCTTTGAAACCGTATCCTCTATGACGAAAAAAATTTGGAACGGTCTACTAATAACGAAAATAATTGAGATGGTCACATGATAGACCACTGTATTGTATAAGATTTTGCTAAGTGAAATTTCGGAAGATTATCATCTAATGACAATCAACAAGTGTTTTAAAAGTTATATATTGTTAATGTACTGTTAGTATATAACTTTTATCTTTGTTATACAGTAGGACCCTCGATAATGTGGAAAATATAATACAAATTAAGTTCCACCGACATTGCTTTTTCGGTCAAATTTAATTAATCCAAATTTCTAAATTTTTGTGTTTGATTTTTTTTTTTTTTATCGTGTTATACGGAAGCAGCAGCAATTTTTTGATCACGGTTTGATCGCGTTATACGGGGTCCTACTGTATAATATCTAAATTAGTAAAACTGTAAATAACGTATAAATGCCAAGTGAGACATTACTGTGTTGTTATAGAAATTAATCATATTCAGATTAATACATATCTGTTATCATACATGTTATCATTAAATATTCTAGCAATTTCTCCGTACATTATACTGAGCTAATACAATGAAAAATACTGTTTCGATTACCCACTCTAATTTGAACTACTTTCCTCACCTATCACTATTTTGAACAGTACGTTTACACTCTTCTTGTTTACCGCAGTCAACGTATAATACTTTAACTGCCAGATTTACTATTATCTTTAATTATACATTATTGAATTTTTGACGAAAAATGTGAAGAAAACGCATATTAGAAAGACACAAACTCCACGAGCGGTACAATATTGTTCAAATAACACAGTCATTATTACTCTATGAAATTATTTAAGCCGTTAATCTGTAGTAATATAAATTTTTTCTAAAATGCAAAATATACGTGACTTTCTACTTCGTTTTGCAATTCTATATTTACAATTCGTTAAGAAAAAGCTTCGAAGAATATGGAATTTCAAATGAAATTCTTTTCTGTACTCCTTTCAAGTGTAACATAAAAGTATCAATAACGACTGTAATAACGGTAATAATAACAGTATAATCTACGAATACATAATTTTCGATGCTGAATTAATTGTATGAAATCGTTCGTAGGGAAAACATTAGGAGTTTCGAAGAATGTATTTCGAGTAAATTAAACGAAAAATAAATGGGAGTAAACTTACGAATTTCCTTGCCAACTGTAAAAATTAATTCGACCTCGAGTACTATCTACTTCGAAGTTTGGAACGATAGAATTGATCCTCATGATTGATGTATTAGAACGTATACGTATGAGAAAACGACTCCTCTCGGAACGATGACACGCAAAGAACTAACTCAGTGAAGTACTGTTTCAATTACTTCGGTAGCAATGCTAGTCAAGTGTAGCTTTGGAAGTCAGGATGTGTCCCCCACTTTCTTCTCGCTAACACAAGTACCTCGTGTCGTGTTATCTATGTATACCAAACGGTAAACATAATCGCTCTCTGCGAGAATGCTTTTTTTTTTGCTAACGGCTACATATAGAAGGAAAACAAGATTTCAAGAGTGGTTAGTGAAAATAGATAATACTTTAACGTGCCACCATACCGTTCACTTGTGTCAGAAATTTCATATGAAAGATGTTCGATTTCATGAGGTAAACTTAATAGAATATTTAAATTTTCTTTTTTAACGATATTCACAAAGATTTCAATATTAATGTTTTTTTTTTTTTTTTTAATGTAACTACTTACAGTGCCTCTCGCTAATATTCTGACACTCTTTAGAACAATATAATTTTCTTTAAAATTGGACCTAACGACTTTTTGAGAAGTTAGAAGGATTAGTGTACTAGATGACGTGTGCAAAATATTTTGAAAAAATTGCAATTTGTGGGAATCGCGAAGAAAATTGTAAAAGTCACTGTTTACAACTTTTTTATCTGAGATTGGAATGAAAATTTGAAACATACGTTTTGCAGATTTATATCAATTACATGCATGCTGAAAATTTCGTTTGAATAATTCGTGGGATATCTTTATAAATATTGGTGGCAATACAATATCTATACATAGACTTTGGTATCTCTCCCACTGCTACACCTGCAGAAAAATTATTTGGACCACCTAATCTGTACAATGCGTTTCGTTTAACTGGAAACGGTGGAATATCTCACCAAAGATTGAAATTATCAAAAAAACACTCTTACAAAAGTTGTTCGGTATACAGGGTGTAACTAGGGCCGAGTTATAACTCGGTTGTTATTGAAGATAAAAAAAATTTGTAGAAGATAGTTTTGCATGGTTTAATTAAATTTAAAGATTTTCTAAAAATTATTGCTTTCATTCGTACTTTTATGTTGATAAACAACGTTCTCGTTAACGCATGCAAATCGTTACTGTTTGAGTCAGAATCGTGAACTGATTATACGGTATCTTGGTGCTTTAATTTTTAAAACCTTGTACGATTGTTTCGTTTAATTGCCAAAGATTGACACTATTTTCTGCGCAGATTATTTCTTTACAAAATGTAACATTACCGTTGTTTGTCAACATGAAAGTACAAGCGGAAGCGATAGTTCGTAGAAAATCTTTAAATTTAATTTTCTCGGAAGCCTTTTAGGAAAAAATTTTATTCAATATTTTCCGTTTATTTGTTCATATTGAATCACCTCTTGCCCGGCTGTACCACCCGCCCTGGCCCACTCTGTGTACTATCTTGACAATTTCAATCCGTATAAAGTATCTCTGCTTTCAATCAACGAAACAGCGTGGGCATTAAAATGCAGCAAAGATTCCTGAGAGTAATACCAAGAGACAAGTGTTACGAATTGCATAAGAATCAACTATGTGGTGATTACCATAGCAACTATAGTGTGGTTTGACTGATGTAGTGACGTAAGTGAATAGTAGCGTAAGTGGAATTGTATGTTATTGCGCACTTAATCATTCGACAGAAGCCCAGGTAGCGTACAGACCTCTTGTGAGCGTATTAAAGACGTCTGTCTAAAACTTAAAAACGCCCAAAAGACGTCTGACCGATGCTCAATGTTACAAATCAGGATCCCTTTAAAACGTTTTCATCATGTCTGGGTTAGGTCAAATGCAGTTCTTTGAAAGACGTCGTTAAGACGTTTATAGGTACAGGTTTAATCCCAGATGGCACACACACGTTCTGTGAAGGTCTTAAAAACGTGAAAATCCTAAAGATGTCCAAAAGAAGTCTGAATGATGTCCAGTGTTATGGCGCAGTGAAGTATTATGTGCTGTTTTTCTAAACGTCTTAAAGACATAATGTTTATACATTGTTTCATTTATATTTCGTTCCAACCTCAAATCACAATTTAAAAGAAATTGCAAGAATTCCAGGCAAGTTAAATGTCGACATAACTGAGACCT